AGGCGGTGCCCTCGCCGCCCAGCACCGAGCAGGACAGCGAGAAGCCGCTGCGGCGATAGCCGCCGGTGAAACCGTTGCTTGCGGCCAGCATCACCGAGGTGCGGCCCCAGCCGGCCTCGGCGCCCTCTGAGTTGGTGACGCCCTTCACCGCGCGCGCCGCATCCTCGGCCTCGCCCGCCATGGCGAGCAGCTTCTTTGCCGTCGGGCGCGTCCGGTCGTCGAGATCGAGGTCGGGCCACGAATGGGTCAGCAGTTCCTCCGGCGCGAGGCCGCAGGTCGGGTCTTCCGGCACGGCGCGCGCCATGTCGACGGCGCGGCTCGCCAGTTCCCGCAGCGAGGCGGGATCGAAGTCGGTCGAGGAGACGAAGGCCTGGCGCTTGCCCATGAAGACGCGCAGGCCGAGGTCGCGGCCCTCGCTGCTCTCGAGCTTCTCGCGCTTGCCCAGCCGCTGCGCCACCGAGATCGACTCGCCGTTGACGTAGAGCGCGTCGGCCGCGTCGGCGCCGAACTCCTTCGCCCACTTCAGCAGGTCGTGCAGCAGATTGGCGTCGGGCGCACCGGCCGGCCGCGTCGTGCGGGCGATCTTCGAAGCGGCCTTGGCGACGGGCTTGCGTGTGGGTTTGGGGGCCGGCTTGGCTGCCGGGCGCCTGGCAACCTTCGGGGCCGCCTTTGCGGCCTTCCTGGGTGCTGGCTTCTTCGGCGCTGCCTTCTTCACCACGTTCTTCGTGGCGGCCTTCGCCGGCTTGCGTGCCGGCTTCTTCGGGGAGGGTTTCGCGGACGTTTTGGGGGCGGTCTTTTTCGCTTTGGCCATGGTTCTGTTCTACGCGCTAACGGCCCGTGTCGTCGAGATAGTAGGAGAAGAACAACACGCCGGTGGCGGCAATGCCGAGTGTCCAGAACAAGGCACGCACGATGTCGGCGAGTATCGCCTGGTCGGGCCACAGCCGGACCACGACCTCGGCGCCGAACTGGTAGCCGAGCAGGCCGATCATCGTTCCCAGCATGAGCGAGATCGCTGCGTTCCAGAGATGGCGAACGCCGCGCCGTATCGCGCCCTCCTGTCGCCGCAGGGCGGCCGTGGGCTCGGGAGGCAGCATGGGTCAGTCGCCGGCGTAGTTGATGCCGGCTTCGGTCTCGTTGATTGCGGCGTTCACCAGGTTGATCGCGCGGTCGCGATGGCCGCCCTTGTTGGGGCGCGCCTGGATCAGTTCGGCGCGGGCGGCCTGCAGGGAGCTCAGCGCCGCCTGCATGTTGGGCTGGTTGGCGCCGGCGGCGCAGGCACCGATGGCGGCGCCGATGACGAGGCTGAC